ATTTAACTGAGTCGATTTATTTGGGCACGGCAGTTACTCGAGTTTGAAAAACCTTACATTCATGCCGGACAAGAGGGATTATTCTTTTTTTTGCCGGTTAAAGACTTAATCTTCCTTTCAATTTATTAGTAGCAGATATGAACAGAGACCACGGCAACATTACAGCTACACAGTTTGAATGTCTGGAGTACGAACTAATGGCCGTATTTATACTAGAGGACAACGCACGAAGACGTCTGAGACGTTTAAGACGTCTTGGACGACTTAGACGTCTAGTACAAATAAGGGAAATAAGGCAGACGCATTAAACGTCAGACGAATAAAACGTCTGAAGCTAAGTGCGTCCAATCGTCGCACTTAAGAGATGAATTAGTCGTCTCAGACGTTTTAAAAGAGGTCTAGCATAAAAACAGGACGCACTTAACAGTCAGACGTTTAATACGTCTGAACGTCTAAGACGTCTTCTAGTATAAATACGGCCAATGTTGGCAAATAATCGGGTCAGTTTTATGGCAGTTGATATTTCGAAATACTTTTCTTGATCTGCTTTCAACAGACACAAGTGTCGTAGCATTTTCGAAGCAAACGAAACGTTAACTAAAAGTAAAAAAATAACAATAAATCAAACAAACAAAAAAATAAGGAAGTGACTTTCCTTCCTAGAAAAAATGAATTTTAAAATTTCGAGCTGTTTGTCGATCAAACCTTACCCTGGGTGCCAGAGACTTTTCTAGCGCGGTTTCCGGTTTCTGTCAAGTCTTTATAGTGACCCGCCAACACCGAAGATTCCCGCCGCACGCGAGAAAAACCTCTGGTACCCAGGGTAATCAAAGCTCCAACCTCCAAAGGTATTTGTTTTTATTCCGTGTTTGCTGAATACCAGATGGCCACTAATAACATTACTTTGAAAAAAAGAGGGTCTTTATATACGCTCTGGCGGTTTGGCGGTTTTAGGTAATTTTGAGTTTCCGTTGGGCTCACAATCGCTTATGTGTTCACCTCAGTCAAACAAGAGAAACTTGCAAAAGATAAACAAAGCACTTTAAGGCTTAGCTTGCTGCTGCGGCTGCAGTTGCAGTAAAGAAATTAGGGAGCTTAAGCTCGCAATCATTTTTCGAGGTCGCACCCTTCGTGTTCGATACTTCATAACTTTTCCTTGAACAAGCACAGGTAGCCCAAGCTCGAAATATGAGCATCGGCGAGCATCGGCACTGTTGCGTAACATTCAAAATAATTTATAAGGATTTGTATGGGAAAAAAAAAAAACTATCGTTTCTACCATAAAACGGCCACAAATCGGCCCGTGGACCACACAGGAGAGACGTAACACACTTTTTAAGTAAGGTAAGCTGTTTTTCATTGAAATCCTTTCATTTTCGTAGGTTACGGAAACGATAAGATTTTTTTCCCATACAAATCCTTACATTTTAAATGTTACGCAATAGTAACGCCAGTCGACTAACTACCGAGGACCTGGATCTCCCGTCCACTGCTGAAATTAATTGGATTGCAATTTACAGCCACCTCACGCCGAGACTACAAGAGCTGTTACATTCAGCAAAGGCGCACCAAAACACATACAACTACAAATGGTGCTGGGCAAAAGGCGCAGCAATCTTCCTACGCAAAACGGATTCTTCTATGACGATTCGTCTGGGGTCGATTGACGACTTAACTAAGTTAAGACTGCGAGAACGCCCTGAAGCTTGATCGGAGGATCCTTACAGCTAAGTTAAAACTACTATTATGTTTTATCACTGATATTACTATGAAAAGCAGGAACAAAACTACAACGAAATCTATTAGGTCTACATTGAAGGTTTTACCGTATTATAGTTGTTCTGGAAATTTGGCAGAAATTCATGGCCAGTTTAATAATTCAGTGTCGACCACGTGTAAAACTAAAAAGGAATTAGCCAAGCTTACTAGCCTATATGACTTAGATTTGTTTTCCTTAAATACAACCTTAGATCATAATTTGAACCCCGCTAATTACTCCTCTAACAGAATAACTAGTCGATATTTCTCCCCCCATAGTTTTAAGGAAATGAAAACGAAGTTGTCAAAAGATGAGACTGTCTCTAGCTTTTCTGTTTTTCATAGCAACGTAGTCAGCCTTAATCGGAACCTGGAGAATCTTCAAACGCAACTTTTGCATGAAGTAGATTTTCATTTTAATGTCATCGGAGTTACTGAAACAAAAATCACCGATGCTAATTTACAAATGTGAACAGCACATATACCTGGCTACGTATTTGAATATGTTCCAACACCTCTGGCGTCTGGGGGACTAGGAATGTTTATTGATGAATCGCTTGATTATCGTATTTTAGAAAAGACCTCTAATGAAGCTTTTCAGGTATTGTGGACTGAGTTCTCGTTTGTGAATAAGAAAAATGTTATTTGTAGAATCTTTTATAGACAGCATAACTCACCTGAAATCTTTCAATCATATTTTGATGAGACTATTGAAAAACTTGCGTCCTCTGGGAAACACATTGTAATCATGGGTGACTTCAACATTGACCTTCTAAAATGCGCATCATCTTCGTATAGTCACGACTTTTTGTCATCCCTTCAAAGTTGTTTTCTCTTACCCGCAATCAACAAACCAACACGTGTTCGCTCTACCTCCGCCACCCTAATTGACAACATCTTTATTAATAATCCTGACCAAGTTGTGGCTTGTGGAAACATAATCTCTGATATAAGTGATCATTTTTCACAATTCTGTATTTTGAAATCTATAAGGGATAAAATTAAGATAAAAAAGTCGAAAGTGCGGGACTTTTCTAGATTCTCTAGGGACAGTTTTAACGCTGATCTTTTTAATGTGTACTGGAATGCACTCTTAAATAAAAAACCGTGTGATGCGGACAATGTATTTTCTTCTTTTTTATAACAAGTTTAACAAATTAATAAATAAACATGCACCTATGAAAACAATTTCAAACCGCAAAGCAAAACAACTCTCTAAACCATGGATTACCAAAGGTATAAGAATCTCCATTAAAGTTAAAAATAAGTTATATGCATCTGGTGACACCGCCAATTATAAAATCTATAGAAACAAAATTTGTTCCTTAACGCGTTTAAGTAAACAGCAATATTATTCTAAATTTTTTAATGATAACTTAACTAATATGAAAAAAACGTGAGAGGGAATAAACAATGTACTTGCTCGTAAATTAAAGAACACAAAACCTATTACTTTTATTAAGGACCCCAATGACAATGATTCTGTCACCAGTGACCCAAGGAGAAT